AAATTTATTCTTGACCTCTCGTTAGTTAAAAAAAAGCAGTGCAGCTAAAATCAAACTCGCATGTTCTTATGTTTCACGCAAATTAACGTGCAGCCAGAGTTAAGTACGGTGAAACTTAAATGCGATTGCTGTGATTAACATGGACACTAAAAACAGTGAATGGAGTTCAATTCTCAGTAATTAAACTTTTATAAGTTTGATTTATTTCTGGAAAACATTAAGTCCTCCTCTGCTTTCTGAGTTTCTAACAGCAGTTGAAATAATCATATCAGTTTTGTCACATGGCATCATAACAAAAGAAAAACGTCGATAACCAAACGTTGCTAGATTGAACAAACTAGTTATCCCTTCATACTTCCACTTTTTCATTCGTGCACTGATTTAAACTGTCTGTCGTTTTATAAACAGAACAATGCATATGGATCAAGACTTAGACGGGAAACTGACTTTAAAATGATAGCTGATGAGAAAATTCAGAAATGAACTTATATATTTATTAAAAAGTAGTAAAACTTGTAATTTTATCAAGTTCATAATTTTATACTTGGTCTCTAATCGTACTAATTGTAATTTATAATTGTACTCTGAACATGAAGAAACATTTTACCAAGTTTAATTGTCCGCAAAGTTCAATTTTACAACGAAATTAATCCCAGTTTGAATCTGACTGCAACTTATCTAAAGCATTGCTTTTTTACAGCTTTAAGTTTAATCTTTTTCTAGCAGTACTGTAAATCAAGCATGCTTTAATTGAAATTGTAGCTTATTCAAAGCATGCTCAAGCTAAAGATTTCGAAAACCTTTTATTTGGAAGATTATTCTGTAATAATCTCCAATCTGCTCTATTCAGTAAACGTCAAAACTTTGAGACGAATTTATCGTCCAGCAAAAATGTGCATGAAAAATGTTTGAAACTTCGATTCAACAATAAGTAAAAAACATCTGCTCAGAAAGTTGATAAAAAATCGCTCTGTAATACTGTATTGTGATCGTAAACATGTATGCATGCATGATGTTAGGAAAGTCAGTTTGGCTAACTTGAAGCAAAAACAGATTTTTAGGTTTTGACCCAAGCAAATATACAAAATTTAATGGAAATCATAAAGCAAGAATTTTTTACTAGGAATTCAAAATCTTGATTTATATTTTTTAATATACGTATTAAAATTTGATGTAAAAGAAAGCGCAAGCGCAAAAATATAGTATATGTAATACAAATTTTTTATTTATTTATTTATTTTTAACACATGATAAACGACTCATATATTAAAAGAACGCACACTCTTCTTAGAGTTAAGGGTGTAAAAAAGCAATGTAATTGGAATAGAACTTAACTCTTTTAAAATTTTGTTGGTTCGTCAGCCTAATAATTTCCGCAATATATGTAATAACAAATACAGTTCAGGATTAACATGAACGAAATTAAATTAAAGTGATGATATATGAGATCCAGAAGAAAGGCGTGTCTGCAAGTTTAGTTTCAGGCCCTCAACATACAAGAGCAAGTCTAAAGCTGACTCTCAAGTATTTTAGAATATGGAATAAAATAGTACCGAGACGACCAGTGGTCGCTGCTAAAAATCTTTCCCTTAAGTTCATGAACTCGGTGCTTATATACATTAATTAATTTGCACCCTGTTGGTAACCGACGAATGTAGAAGTGAGACTACAGGCAAAATTTAAAAGATAACTGGTTAATAAACACAAAACCCTGACACGATTGTTGACAATGTTTTTCAAAATTGACAATAGTGCTAACTATGACAACGTTTCGGAGCAAAATTTATAAAGAACGCTTTTAATTAACTAAATATAATCTTACATCATCGAATAAATCGGTAGACCTTGAAAGAAATATGATATCATGTGCTTCGTAGCTAGGATCATTCCAGGGAATTAAATAGTTTTTTTACAGTGATTTTCCTTTCTTTTACTTATTTCTCTCTATTTGTTGACATAAAAGAGTACACCTAAATGTGTAAAAACTCTTCTAAGTTACATGGGTTTAAATGAATACAGATAAAAAATATCTCTTATTAAATTCATGGTCATGTGTGGCTAAAAGTAAAATTGTGTTACATCAGTTAAAGTAGTGTATTGGGGCATTAAAACAGACTGTTAGTTATTGCAGAAGTGTTACTATAGAAATGCTACCTATAATGATAATAATATTCCATTTTTCAAACTTTTCTTAAACATTTTGATTTAAAATACGTCGTTGTTAGCAGCTTCACGGTTTTACTTCAAGAGGGGTTTATTCACTAGTCGCATATGCGACTAGTGAACACATCCAACGTATAACATATAGATTGTTTTCGTGGTTAAAAATCAATTTGACATTAAAGCGCGTTTAATTAAAACTGTGTAACTTAAACCTTTTTTCTGAATTGCATATTCCCTCCAGTAGGGCTTATTTTCCGGAAATTTATGCTACTAAATCTTATGAAGATATTTCGGTGAAGAGTAACAAATGTGTTTGTTTCAATAAAAAAGTATTTACAGGAATCATTTTCATCTAATTATAAATTAAGGTAAAATTTTTATTAATTTAATTGATAAAACACTTTTCCAGAAATAGCTAAATAATTAAAATGATATCTCTAAAATACCCTTTAGAAAAGTTCAGTCTTCACAATGACGCAGCGGAACATCCGAACAGATAGTAATTTAATATTGCGAGACGTGACAAAAGCGCGCTTCTCTTTGATGTAGCAGTGCTCTTGTTCAAAAGCTTTAGAGAAATTACTAAACTCTGTTCGCATTCACTCCATTAGGGAATACTTAGAATACTTAGAATCTTTATTTAGCTTGATTGTTAGTATTTAAGAATTACTGATTCAACTGCATTTAAGGAATATTCCCAAGAAGACTGTTTAATTTGCAACGGATTTATCGCGGGTGAGGATTGAAAATATATATATGAAGGGAAAATACTTTCATCTAATAATCTAGAATACTTAAAACGAAAAAGAGATTATAACTTACATTAATTTTGGCCTGAATTTCATATATTTGGTACTTTGTTGTATTGCTTGTACGGTTTAATTTATTTAATTAATAGTTAATTTATGTATTGTTTAATATTTCTTAAAAGTAAATTATTCTTAAAAGTAAAATTCTTCTTCACTGTAGAACTAAAAAGATGTGCTTTATATAACAACTTCAAAGAAGAGATTGTTTATATTGCTATTTGGAATATTTCATCTTTACATCGCACAGCAAGAAGTTTTGAACCGGTATGTGATTTCGAACAACTTCCGTTACTTATGAAAATGCTTTATTATCAATGAATAAAAACTCAGGCAACGTTACTTACACATACCAAATTGATTTTCTTTTTGTTAAGCATAAAAAGTGTATTGCAGAGACAGCAGGTTATTTCGAAGCAGGAGACATAAAAAATGAGCAATGCCTTCGCCGGGATTCGAAACACGGACTTTTCGAATAAATGGGCTGGTCATTACACCACGAAGGCATGCTATGAACGCGGGAGAAATACCTTATAGTATGTGATAGGCAAAAATTAATTAAAATTGTTTTAAGTTCCTCAACTTAAGATAAAAAAGTTTCATTCAAATCAATCAAAACTAGTTTAACTCTAAATCAAAGTAACAACACTAATTAATCCCACTCGTTTCTTGAAAGTACTGTACTAACTGGAAAATTTTTAAGTTACTTACTTTCATCTTCTTTTTCGTTCCCCCAGTAATCATAAAATGTGTTATGCTTTTGGAAATTCATTAGCTTATCGTTAGGTTTTGAACTGTCATTGCGCCATAGATTTATAATTAAAGGTGACATTTATGTTTCAAGCAGATGTGTTAATGAATGCCAAGTACAACACCTAAAACAGCCTACGTGTGATAACACCGTTTTCTGCTTGCAAGATTTCTTAGAACATAGTTTTGAATTCAGTAATAACTAACCAGTTATTATATACTCTGATTTAATAGTAGTTAGCATTTATTGTCTGTATTAAATCAGTTACAATCTTGAAGAAGGACATTAAGACACATCAAGCTGAAACACATCTTAGGCGAAAAGAAACATTTAAGCCCTATTATATACTACTGAGAAATGCACCCGAATTTAAAAATAAAATTAATTGTAGATTTTTGAAAGTCTGGAGATGCACCAAATTTCATGTAAAAATTGTTAAGATGGTCTGCCTTTCACAGCTCATCACTTTTAGTTTCACAAGTAATTCCTCCGTTTGTCATCTATGTATGTAGAATATGAATATATAACATCCAACTCTTTCTGCGAGCTTCGACGTTTTACTAAATCATAAGCGATACAATATTAAGATATTTCTGCTCTATGTATCCTTGTGATGGACTGATTAACACAACTAGCTTGTAGAACTATTTTTTAAAGGTGGTAATGTGAAGCATAAGTTATGCCCGCGATTGGATTAGAACCACGAATCTTTATATTGTTAGCTGGACTTGCTACCAGCTAAACCAAGAGAAACCGCTACAGGGAAGGAGACACTTACTTATGAGCTAAAAACTCAGGTCCGATTCTTCTTGAATAGAGCAAATTACTTTTTCACTTTTACAGAACCGACAAAACCCCACATAATTTGATTACATGATAGGAAAAATCTGAAAAATTTAAGGAAATACTCTGAAGGAAGAAGAGCTTTTTGAAAAGAATGTTTATAAACATGCGCTTGGTGAAAACTCTTCGTTTCAAGATAAAATTTTTAAAAAGGTAATTTTAAAATGGAAACAAATCTGTAACACCCAAATAAAAAAATGAAAAGGGCAGCAAGTCATTTTTCTTGCAGTAGTAATGTCCGATATGTTTTGATGCATGAAGACATTCATTCACGAAAATTAACCAGCCTTAAATATTTCATTTTTCGCAATGATTTTCTGATTCCGGGCCTGCGGCTACTTACAGGAATGTTGCGCACGGTAGAAGGCGCTCGCATCACGAAAATGCCCCAGTTGAAGCTCAAGAGCAGGGATTGTGAGATGCTGATCAGCCGTTGGTGCACGAAGTTGTCATTTATTCCGTTCCTGGTGCTCCAGCATCTCATGCTTTTTCTCCAGCACGCCAATCGCTGTTTTCTGTAGGGAATCAAAGTCCCTGATAGTAAAGGGTCCGGCCCGCTCGCAAGTATCGTTCAGCTCCGAAGAACTGCGCTCGAGTACTTTTGGAAAGAAAAGTCTTTATCATTTCTTCGGTGGATCAGAAGTATTGACAGCAGGTATTTTTTTAATGATTGTTAAATGTAAATTTATGAATTTTAGCATGCTAGAAAAAAATCCGAGTTTAAGTTTCGTGGTTTTTATCGTAAATTGAGATATTTTATTATAGAATTTTGTGTCCAACAATTTTCTTAATAAATTTACTGTTGAATATTTACTCCAAAGATATTTTTTAAAGTTTAGGGGTCTTCAAAATAATCACAGTGATTTCAAAATAGGATCTTAGAGTATATTATTCTAATACCTGCTTTTGTAATGAGAAAAAAGAAATTATATTATTAAGCAGGCTTGAATAAATCTCTAAAGTATACGTAACATTATACTTTGGAATTAGCGTTTTCGCTTTCCGTATTCAGGCTTTTTGTGAATTGAGATCATAAGCAGATTTATTTGTAATCTATGGAAGAAACCTATAGTAATTAAAATAAGCGCAAATTATTTTTGAAAAGCGAATGAATAAAAATTAAAACTTTTTCTGAAAGAGTTATAATTTTTCTAACCATAACAGAAAAGTACCGACTTTGTCTCTAATGTTCGTTTAAAAGAGACAATGAACTTAAATAATGTAAATTAAAATATTACGAGTTCGAATTTTTTAAAGTTTATATAATATTTCATGGCACAAAAAAGCAAGAATTCGTTAAGTAATGACAGTTTTATATCAGAGGAATATATGTTAAGTAAGAAAGTGAAAAGAATAAGCAAGCCTTTGATAGCAATGAATTTTACTTCGATTAGTTCATGTATGAAAAAGGAATATTAAATTAGGAATTTGCTTTGCATATTTCATCCAGTTTCACTTACATAAATAAAATCTTTATATATATATTGTTCAGAGTAGTTATCTCAAAATCTGTAGAGTTTAGAAGAATACATTTCATGCATTTTCTACACAACCTGTTTGCTATACAGCTGAAGTAACAGTTTTCGCTTCCTTTAACGGAAGTTACTTTGAGTCAAATTTATACGTTTAAAAAAAGAGAAAACTAAAACGTAAGTCTAGAACTATTTTGTAGATATCAGGCGTAATTTTAATGCATAAAAGCACAGTTTTATGGCTTATATTTTAAAATATACTTTTTGATATACTTTTTCTAATTTATCTATATTTTACAGTGTACATATTTAGGGGCTTTAATGTTTCACCTAACTACAGTATTGATTTTAAGTAATATGTCAAACATACGTATCTTACGCGGTACTTGGCTTAATTAAAACGAAATATTAATTTCAGTAATTATACTAAGTTGAGCAGGCTGAAAATGCACACTTTTAGGTTTGCTGTATATTATATTATACCATATTACCTTCATTAACCACTGATTATTGCTAAAAGAGGCGCGATATTTAAAAATTCGCATCATTATTTTTAATGTTACTGTCAGTAACATTTATTCACTCTGGATTTCAGAGTTATATAAATTCATAGATTTATAGAAATTACTGCATAATAAAGTATATGTATGCATTCATACGGGACACGTTAGATTAAAGTTAAAATGGAGGTTATGATAACTTCTGTGATAAGAAAAGAAATTTACCGCCCTCCAATTATAAGGCTAACCTCTGATGAAAGCCAGGTACTTTCGTTTAATAATAATAAAAGCATTATTTTGGCATATGATCGCTTTCACAGTAGGAGGTAAAATTTATAATCTCAATTAATAGTTTATCAAAAAAGCATAAAAATATTTATTGTCATTTTACCTCAAACTGAATTTTCCTTTACAAATAACTATTAATTTCGGAAGTGTCTGATAAGTTCAATCTTAACAGTGGAAAACACTTTTATTTAATGATAATCATACAATTAAAGTATCAGATATGATTCAAATGGAACTATGTGGAGGTTATTTCTTTCTTGCAAGAGAGTTTCGTTCAGTTCAACTTACTTTCTGCTCCAAAAAAATGAAAATGAGGCAAAATAAGTTTTGCAGAAAACCGCTTTCAGTGCTCTTTCGCTTTCAGCACGTCTATAATATTATTAAGCATATTATAAAAAAAAATTTGTGAAACTACTTCTCTTAAGTTCATGATATGAGATGTAATTACTTTTTGCCACTAAAGAAAGCTTGATTTATGACACACAAAAATATTTTATTAATTTCAGAGTTTATTGTATCTTAGCTTCTGCTTAAAGCCGTTTTAGCGAAACCTGAAAGGTTTATTAAACGGAAGGTTTATTAAAGTTTTCTCCATGGCTTCATAACTAGCCCTAAACTGCAGATATTTTGCTCACGTTCAACTCCACTGAGTTTGAACTCTTATATAAATTTGATTGTATATTTTGTTTCGTAGGTGAACATTTTCATATTCTTTATGATATTGGCGCAAGAGACGTATTTGTAAAAATTTCGAATATGTGTTAAAAGGTAGAGTTTAGTTTTCCATAAAACAAATAATGTTCAATGATAATTTTCAACTCAGAAAAAGTTTGAATATAAGCATATGCGAAGTTTGATGGAATATGATATCGAAGAATCCTTTATTTATTTTCTAAAGCTTCATTTCGGAGGCCTAAAGCTTCATTTCGGAGGAAGAAATATCATTTTCCGCAACAGTGGTGTAATAAATCACGATAAACTTCCAATTTGTTTGTCAATATGCTTATCAAGATGCGAGGCACAACTAGGTTTGTAATATTACTTTCAGACCTGCAATTTTTAGCTTTCGTGTTAAGAATAAATGACGTTTTAGGAAATATTTCAGAATAAATAGCAGAAAGTCAATTTTTATATGTATAAAATATAGAAAGGTATAAAATATAGAAAAGTATAAGGTATTTTGAATACAAATATAATTCACACATATAAGCAGCTACCGTAAATAAAATTATGGCGAATACATAAATTATAAACGAAAATCATATTTTTTAGTTTTATTGGAAAACTGCAAAGTATGCAGTCTCCAAACTAAAATTCGTATTCACTTTCTATTTCGGATGTACAAAGTATGCAGTGTTCAAACTAAAACTACTCACCGATGTGTCTGTCTTCATGTAGAATGAATCGATTAATGTAGAATCATTCAATCGAACAAAAGCCACTTTAGCGCCATTCTAATCGAAAATTAGAGAAATTAGCAAAATCTGAACCCGCAATGAAGCGAGAGTGAAGAAAATGGTCAATTACAAAAGTAGTACGCCTTCATCTAATTATCAGGAATCGATATCTACCAAATAATCCAAAAGCGCAAATACTATCCATAATAAATGAAATCTAAAATGATCATACGACGCACTGATTTGATACATTCACGGTATCGATGTATTTTTGTCACGAATACTATATTTTATGGTATTAATCCATGTGTCTCCCTTTTTGCGCGGCCGTGGAATGGCAAAGGCCTATTACGAAAGTCCAGAGCTAAATGATTCTCTGGGATACGGAAAAGCATTCAGAAGATTCCAAATCTTTAAGCCTGCCAAAGCCAGGGCATTATTAAACCTTTGAATAGTAAAGCCTTTCACTTGATTTAATGGAATACGTAAGCTTTGGCTGGCGCACTGAGCGTCCGATTAGTAATATGAGATGAAAATATTTGATGTGTTAATGCCGGGGAGGCTTTCGAGCGTTATTCTGAAAGCTTTATGTTCAATCTGCATCTAAATGAAATATGGTTCCAATACACTTCTTTGCCTGAAACAGACTAGTAGCCTCCTAATAAGCCCTCCATTTTTAAGCCTTAGACGTATGAGTATACGAATGACTTTCAACACCTCAGAATACGTCGTTACCTCAGAATTCTGAGATCGTTACCTCAGAATACGTGTACGAGAGAAATAAGTGAATTAATACTTCAATGCATCTAGCTAATTTTGAGCAAGCTTAACATTTCGTATATATGACAGAAATATCTTCATACTTGACAGAAATCCATCTGCACTTATATTTGTGTTAAAATAGTGCATTCTATAATCGATTTACATTGGGTGACACATTTACTGAACTTAAGGTCCTTATATACCAATTCGTAATAATTAATGATAATATACAATATTTTTACTGGCCAGTTTAATCAACCTTGCTTCGCTTCCGAGTTGGATTTGATAACTTACCTAATTTTACGCTAGAGAGTATAACAATCACTTCTTTACGATGAAGCGTGTCCACGTCTCTAGCTGAAAATCAATCCTGTATTGCAGGATCATTTTTCTAAAAGAAAAAAGGGGTTTTTAAAAACTTTCTTTGGACCTTCGTATAAGGAAAATGTACAGGGAAAGAATAAATTTATTCTAAAAGGCCTCTGTAGAAAATGCAGGAATATGAATAAAGAAAAATGTGTAACAAGGAAAACAATGTGTTCATTTCTATATAAATGAAGAGTTTTAAATTAATCTCCAATTTATTTTGGTAGTTATTCTGTTGATCTAATTATCTCAAAGGTAAGTTAAGCCTGTAAGGAAAAATTCATTAATTGATCAAAAGATATGCGCTCAAATAACTGAGGAAGGGAATTAAATGTATGTATATTAAAATTTCGGTTGCACTTCTCTTATCAACTGTTTTGTAAATTCATTCATAGCTACCTATAATATAAAGGATATATCAGGATTCATTTAGGTAACTCGAATAGTGTAAAATGTTTGTATGCAATTAGGCACGTTAATACTGTCTTTTTTTGTTGTATATCAGGAAACCATTTCAGAGAAATGTTATTTCTAGTAGCTTAATTAATCTTTTTAAACAAATTTAAGATCACGTTTTCTCAAAAGCTAAAAGTATTTTATGGAGAACAATTTTGTGGTACAGTAGAATTAACAGTGAAAAATATAATTATATGCGGTAGAAGAACATCATACTCGATCCCATACCAGATCTAACGTGTTTTGCTTTACTCGCAAAAATTTTTGTGCAGTTGCGGTATGGTAACCAATGCCTTTGAATAAATTTCAAAAATCCTCTAGGGTGAAAGGTACCACTCTATAAAACTTCACAGTTAAACACGTTTCTAGTTTAAGATGCATTTGCGCTGCATGAATAAGTACTAATTATATAAC